AATCCTGGTTTGGGGTTTAGGGTTTAGGGTTTAGGGCCCTAAGTAATCCTGGTTCATGGTTTCTGGTACCAAAAAAGCGACCCAAAGCCGCATAATAGAGAGAGAGAGAGAGTACGTACTTGGATCCAGTGTACCCTAACCTTAATACCCCGCGCACCCTGAGCCAGAACCATATCAGCCAAAAGGCAGCCTATGCCCCTAGCATCCAACTACGTAGTAGTCATATATATATTCTACCAAAATACCCAGGCCTTCCAACATCCCACAAGTAAGGAATATAGCAACTATACTAGGTCCTTTGGATCCTTGAACCTCATGCAAGCAACCATAACTTATGGAACTATCCACCCCTTATTTGAATCCTCATAGAACCCATATAAGAACACCGAGTCACTCTACTCGTTGCGGGCCGGGCCTGTTCGCCCGGACCAATCGTCACTGGGCTTCGACAGGGTCGGAATCTGGCATGGAAGCGCAGCGTGTCGTGTTGCAATTGTTTTTTTGGAGGAGGGGGGGGGGGGTGCCTGGTAGAGAGCCATGTAGGGGCCTAAATAATTAGCAATACTATTGTTTTTTTGGGAGGGGTTCCTTATTATAACTATAGTACAATGGGCCCCAAAACCCTAGTCTCATCACTAAGGATACTAGGGTTTGTTTTGGAGATTAAGGAAAGCAAAATAGTAAGGGTTATATACCAAGCTTCATGATGCTCTGTAGCCTAATCCCTGCCTTTTGAGGGATTTGGTTTAGGGCTTTCGATGGTAAGGTTTGGGTCCCTGGAGCCGCGGAAGTTTAAAGCTATTAGGGTCAGGGCTTTACGTTCTTCGGGCTTAAGTTTCAGGGTTTCGGTTCTTGGTTCATAGGTTTACGATCTTGATTCTAGTGGCTAGAGGTTTCCAAGTACCCAAACTGTCGGGTTTTCTTCGGTCAAAGCTATACTCGTTTGGTACCTGCAAGCCTACTAACTTATTCGGAGCCGAAAACCTAAACCTAAGCCCCAAGTGTAGAATTTAATTAGGGTTGGGATGCAAGTTACCAGACAGTGGGGCCTTACAAGAACTGCCGGTTATGAAGTTGGGATTAAAGTGCCTTCTTGAAGCGTAAACTCTAAACCCTGAACCCTAAACTCAGCCCTAAACCCTAAACCCTAAACTCTAAACCCTGAACCCTAAACTCAGCCCTAAACCCTAAACCCTCTAAGTTGAAGCTTCTACTTCGCAATTATTGATCCCCATCGTCGTTTGCTTTATTGGCTCAGGTCCGAGTCTTTCGATCGCGAAGTCTAACATAACTGCCGTGATGATTAGAATGGTGTAGATTAGGGCTTTGGGTTTGGGGTGTTGGTGTAAACTATACTGTAAGGCTTTATACGGTCCAGGGTATGGGGACCTTAAAGCCGTGATGATTAGAATAGGGTTTTGGTCTGTATGCAGGGTACAGGGGCCCTACTAGTTAGAATAGGGTCTTGGCCATTGGTGTGCATCATACTAGAATAGAATTGGGTTCTGGTGTACATTATACTACAAGGGTCTTGGGTGCAGGGGCCTTGATGACTAGAACTGCCTAAACCCTAAACCCGAAACCCTAAACCCTAAATAACGAGGAACCCTATGGAATGGCATTGGTAATTTCCCGGGCCTTGAAAAAAACTCTTAGTTAAGGAATATGCTCTAAATTTAAGTAGGATCCTCAAAAAGATTTCAGGGCTGGGGATACCTGGACCTACACCGGGCGCCTGGGGCTGAGGCTGGATAGCAAAATGCACCAGAATCCGGCCCACGTTGCAAAATCTGCAAAAATCTGGCCGGAAACCGCAAGATTGCCGGAATCTCAACGAGACTCCTAGATCTGAAATTTGGCCATAAGCTTTCTATTTTGCAGAGCACCGGCCGGCTGGAAGCAGCACGTAGTCAACTGCTCAGAACTGTCGAACCGATTTTCTGATTTTTGCTCTACCTATAGGCTCCATGCTGGTTCCTTTTGGTGGCTGACATTTGCTGAAATTTGCTCTGCTTATAGGCTCCATGCGAGTTCCCGTTTGTGGTTTTCTTTTGGCATCCTACAAGGTAATACCCGAAATGGAACTACAATGGAGCCTATGGGTATTGGATGTCAGGGCAGCCCCTTTAATAAAGGGCGCCACGCTGCGCTGGCGAACCCTAACCAAACCCTAGACCCTAAACCCTAACTAAACCTCAACAAAAACCGTAAAACCCAGAAAGCCTAAACCCTAAACCCTAACAAAACTCCAAACAACCGTAAAACCCAGAAACTCTAAACTGTAAGTAAACTCCAAAAAACACGGAAAGCCCCAAACCCAGGAAACTCTACCGAGCCCACGAAAGCTGCCAGGGGGGCGACTTCGATGCCGCGCTTCTTCCAATCCTGGGAAGTTACCGACAGGGCCTCCCCTTGCAAGGACGCATAGGGGTAGCTCTCTAAATTAGGGTCCCTTTAAGGGTCCTTTTTATAAGGGTGCCGTACTACTGGGGTCCCCTGTAGTGAATAGGATTTTGGGGCCCATTATGCTAAACTTATAACAGGGAAACCCCAACATAGTATTGGTAATTGTTTAGGCCCCTACATTAGTGCTTCAGGCCCGGGAATTCAGGATCAGGCATGAGGATGCGATTGAAGACCAAAGGTTAGGGGCTTAGGGGTTTAGGGGGTTTGGGGGTTTGGGGGTTTGGGGGTTTAGGGGTTTAGGGGGTTTAGGGTTTCGGGTTTTGGGTTTCGGGGTTTAGTATTTAGGGGTTTGGGGGTTTAGGGTTTACGGTCTAGGGGTTTAGGGGAGTTTAGAGTTTGGGATCTTACAAAGATGCCGAGACGCATTGGGATACACAGGCCCTGAAGGACAAACAACAACATGTGAAATAATCCCACAAACCCCAACAGCCGAAAAGCACTAAGCTCTAAACCCCAAGCCTAAAGATGCGGCGCTTGAAGACCTCGTCCATAAAGCCCCGAAGCCCCATGAAGCTCACTAAACCCCTTTAGCCCGCAACGAGAAATAGCTCCCAAGCACACACATAACAACCCTTAAACTCCTAAACCACAAATCTCGACATACTCAAACCCTGCATCTTGTATCCCGTGTCTGCCCGCCACAAAAAAAGATCCACTTCTAAAGCAGCCAAGGCTCTTCAAATCGATCTGCATAGGCCATTCCTGATTCAGTCCTGCGTAAGGCTCGGAGTTTAGGGCTTGAAGGCTCCAATCGACATCTTCTGGGGGAGATGTCGGATGTCCTGCTCGAAGGGTTGACGTTCAAGAGTCTAACAGAGGGGCCTCCATAATTACAATAGGGTCTTGGGTGTACAGTATAATTAGAAAACAGTTATTCCCTAAACCCTAAACCCTAAACCCTACACCCTATAGGCCTACATAGGAGGATGTTCTATTTGGGCTCGGGGCTCGTGACCGGCTTGCGACTGAGACCTGGGCAAAGCTTGCGGGGGGGTCGAGAACACTTAGATGGGGGGGCCTAAATAACTGATTCAACCCTAAACCCTAAACCCTGAGACTTGGGACCCCCAAACCCTAAACCCTAAACCCTAAACTACGCTTGCAGCCTGGCGACCGGCAACATCTAAACCCGAAGCCCGAACCACAGGATAAAAATCTAGGGCTAGGTGAGTTAACTCACAGTCCTGCTTCTGCAGGTGAAAGCCTCTTTCCCTACGTGCAGGAGCCTGATTTAAGAAACCCTGAACCCTAAACCCTGAACCCTGTACCCCCAAAAACCGTAGGACTCATGAAAAAGAGCCCTGTATGAAGACCCAGAGTCTCTTCATCAGATTCCTATATGGGTTTTGGGTTTAGAGTTTAGGGTTTAAAATTTGATGCTTGGGGTTTAGGGTTTAGGGTGTAAAACTTAATGTTGCATGGGGTTTAGAGCTTAGGGTTTAGAGTTTAGGGTTTAGGGATGAGGGTTTATCATAACCTGTAGGAGCATGGGTTGCCGGAGCGTTACTGCTCGGATGGCCAAGATAATGGTAGAAGCACAAGAAGAGCAAAGGAAGATAAAGGAAGTTAAAGGAAGATAAAGGAAGTTAAAGGA